GTATAGGGATTTATATACGTAAAGTTTTTGAGAATCCATTAAGTCTGGGTTTTAACAGGTCATCAAGCAAACAAACAATTATTAGATATTTCAACATCATTTAAAAAAGTAAACATATTCATTTATTTAAAAAATCTTTTAAAAATACAATTACTCTAAACATTTTTTAATCAAAATTTTCTTTATTTACCATTACATGTATATATTCATGCTAATATGCTTTTAAATTCACACCATTAAATGCCATGGGGGTTATGTCTATTAAACAGATTTCATACCGAATTATTCAGAAGAATATCGATCGTTTACTTTATTGAAATATTGAAGTACATTGATGATCTTCCCTGCTAATTTTGGTATAGTGTTAACTAATTTATTAAACTATTCCGAAGTGTGTTACTTTTGTAGGTCCCTTTGATTTAAATTTAAGTTATTTTTTTATCGTTACAATCTTTCTATTGACAAAGTATCCAGGCACTGTCATTGGTTTTTGCAACCTACGATATACTGCACACACTTCTTTTAAAAAATAAATGTTATCAAGTTCATTTAAAGAAAAAAAAATGTCAAACCAAAATTGGGTTGAATATTATTATTTCCTTCCAAAGTGTGTAAAAAGTCTCGAAGACATCTTACAAATAAAAAAAATACTAGAAAACCCATTGCGTTTACCGAAACATACAAGTTGGAAATAACAACAGAACCAGCTTCCGGTCTGTAAGGCATTTGCAGCATTTAGTATCTATAGTAAATCACATTTGTTCTCATTTGGAGATAGCAATGAAACTAAAGCAATTTCAATAGATACGACCCTAACTATTCACACCAATATTAATTCTCCAGCGCTCCTATACGCTTAGCCCAATTGCAAAATGTTTAAACGTGTTTGCAGCCATTTTTGATATAACGAAGTTGTCATGTGCGCTATGTAAAAACATTATCGTACAGAGTAGCTTAGGGGAAGATTTGAAATTGAATTTCGTAAATGATTCAGGCGAGAAGCGATTCTGAACCCAACATCTCCTTTGATGAATTTTTATGCGTTGTTAATGCAGCGAGCGGCCACTGTGAGAGGGTAGTCCATTAAGGACTGTGTCAATCTCGAGAAGCGCCGCTGGTCTCTCGGGAGACGCTACCAGAACAAGCTAGAGACACTTTGAGTGCCAAACAGCCAAGGCGGCAAGATCGGCAAATGCTCTTGATTTGGCTCTGGTCTCACGGCTCATAAAGCTTGCAAATTTGTATCTTAAGGCAGTGTTGAGTTTCAGCATCGTAGAACGCGTTTTGGTCTCCGCGGTGTTCAGTTTAGAAGAATTCGGGCGAAAAGCAATCCAAGCTGGCACCGAAATCGTTAGGAGGTTACACCAAGGGCCTGAGCCGCTCATGTTATTCCAAACATTGATGTAGAAAAATTAACATCCTGATCCTTCTGACTGGCTTCATGTCGATCAGTCTTCCTCAATATATTTCGTAAATAGCTAAGGGAAAATAAGTAATGTGGAATATTTCTATTAACAGTGTTTTGAAATAAATTTCTTTTGGCTTTTTGTTAGGGATGACTGCTAGGAAAAAAAAGAAGAAAAATATTTTGAAAACCATTTAGCTCTGAGAAAGAAACTTCATTGTGAAAGAAATTGAACAAAACTTTATTTAGATATTTTGAAATGTTTCTTAAATATCAGTTACAGTATACGTTTATATGCTTGATTCTTTTTATAGGCATATTTTATCCTTTTTGACATATCTTACTGATAAAGAAGAATATTGTAAACGGGACAAAAACAAGTTAAAACTGGGACCCTTGATAATTCTTATTAAATATTGTATTGCTAACTAAATTAATGTAAACTGAATTTATTATTAATTTCAGCCTCTTTAACAAACACGAGCCACAAAGAGGCATTTTCGTTTCAATACTCAAAGCATTGTTGATAACAATTTCAGCAATAAATTAAAATAGTTCAATTTTTCACGGCTTAAAAAAACCTTAAAGCAAAACGTTGTATTTCTGTGTAAGGAGTTATGTCATATCATTTCAATGTATATATTTTCCCACAATTTCAGTATCTAAAATAACGAGCGAAAATTAAAATCCCCCGAAAACAGCTCCTTTTACAGCATTGAGTCAGGCTCTTTGGTTTGGTGATACATCTTCTCTTTTGGTAATTTTTTTCTGTTGATATCACCTGTATGGCTACTGATATATCATTAGGGCGTCAGACAGTAATTATTGCTCGATCTCAGTCTATAATACAATATCTCAAGGTCTTAGATATGATACATACGCTTCACATTAGTTTGAAATATCGTTTAGTAAACCAATTTGATTTTTCACGGAAAGTTAGGCATGCATCGTAAATTAAATGTCTATTATGTGGATGTTCCTAATGAACAGGAAAGTTACATTTATTAAAGAGATACGCAGAACGTAAACATTTAGATATCTAATAAGAGATCCGCTTCACTGCTACCATGTTTCGAAAACAAAAGCCTTTAACCTTTATTAAAACGATGAAACAGATCATCAATAGATTATTCATTCACATTTTATGGACATTATATCTAATTAAGGGAAATATTGGCGTCCCTGTGTTTAATTTTACTTGAAATTTTGCAGCATTAGTGTTTTTTAAGTTGTGTTCATAATAATTAGTATTTAAATGTACATTTCATCTGAAGCAATTTTTAAAAAATCTTCCTACATACCACTACTGAGAATGTTGACAATTCAGAATTGCAGTGATATTTGATCAATATAATACATTCCGTTCTTTAGAGTTAAAATAATGTCCAGGAAAATTGATGGATATTAAAAGCCTATTTAAATTTGAATGCCTATCTGACCAACAGGTAACTTACCATCGCTTCCTCTATTTTGTGGTATGTCGTAACATCAGGGAAGCAGTATGTTACGGTATTTATGCTAAAATAGGACATGCTAAGAGGTGATGATGCCTCGATTGTTCCAACACGTGTGGGCGGACGTCGAAACACACGCTAGACACGTGCCAGTTGTAGAATTGTAAATGGGGTACACGCGAATTCTAAATGAATAGGAGAACACACACTAGTTGTTCATGGATATTAGTTTTTACCCTTTTAAGTAGTGCTAATAATCTATGATTTAAAACTAGCTGGAAATCGTAAATGCTTCATACTTCAATGTATTAGATGACTATTATAAATATTATTTCATTCAAACTTGTCGGATAGAGCGCAAATGTTTGGTACCCGATTTTCGACTAAGGAATGGTGAAGTAAGGCATTTTGTTGATTGTCTCAACTTGAGGAATGTACGAAACAGAAACATGGCATAGGAAGAAATACGAATTCTGACAAAAGTATAGTCCTATCATCCGATATTCGAGAATCTTCGAGGGGTGGAGAGTAGCCAAGCGACCAGAATTATAATCGATTTGTCAGCAGGTGCTCTTCATACAAACGGACATTGATGACGGAAAACATGACAAAGCGCACTAATTGCTCCAATAAAGGGCTACCTTAGTGGCCAGAACACGAATTCATTACCACAGTAATTGAATTACGGAATATCCGTTAGTTGGAAAAAGGCTGAGAGAGTAGCGCATGTTTAAAGGCCCCACTTTGCATGAACACGGGTTCTGTGGTGCGTGTTCTGTGACTGATGGGAGTGCTTGTACAGCTCCCTTGTCGAGCAACCTCTAACAGTCATTCCCAGCCTTGCATGCCAGATCTCGTGGTAGTGCATTGGCACAGAAAGTACGATTTTATAATCACAATTACTACAGTTCACCACTGATGAATCTGGCGTTCTCTGTGACGGGTTGGTAATTGAAATCAATTCAGCTTCTTGTCGTGTTGTTGGCTGACTCCAGGACAGTTTTCCAAGAGAGCGTACTCTGGTTTGCGTACGACGATTGTTGTAGTCAGTTCTGCGCGCTCCAAGAAGCACACTTCTGCTTCATTAAACGCTATGGAATGTTTTTATAACACGTATCATCACTGTCTATTTGATTTCAATTAAGTATGCAAAATAACCCTCTATCCAGAAGCTTGTTCCGCTTCCTATCTGCACGAAACTGCTTTGTCCACAGCTCTTCTGACACGAATCTACGCGATGTGACTGTAGTTTAAATGAACCAGTCGTAATTCCAGTGACAAAACATTACAAAAACTCCAAAGAATCTTTTTTTATTTATTTTCATCAATTTAAAAATACATGTTGACATTTTTAATGAACTGTCTTTATTTGAATTGAAAACACTCCTCCAGAAATGCTTAGTTATTCTTGTTCAAAAACCAATTTGAAATACGCTTTGAATTTTTGAATCTGACGGAACGCTGAAGTAAGCAATAACATTAACAAGGACATAATGTTTAGCTCGATTCAGAACATTTTTATTTTATCGATGCAGACAGAACTGAAGAAAGCACTAATGTTGTTACCTCGAACCCAGCTGCGTTATAAATCTAGTCATTTCACACTCAGAACGCCGTCAAGTTAAAGCAAATAAAATTCCAACACGTAAAAGATTGTGTTCAAAATCAATACTTTCCTAGTATGTATACGATATTGAGACATGAACATTGCATGTACACGTAGACAAGTGTTTTAGAAAATGTTATCGACGTATTCTATGACTCTTTAATTACATTCATTATTGATATGCAAATCAAAGAAATGCATAATCAATGTATGTATGTATATTTCGAGGTTTCTGAAAGGGCTCCATGTAATATGTTTTTACCTTTTTGATCATGTTCGTTGAAATAAAATAGAATTATATACGAATAGCTAAAATAAATATTTTCCATTTTCGATGGAATTTACAATAATCATTTATTAGCTGTGCATTTCAATAATTTATAACCTTTTGTTTTTTAAGTCCATTGTTGTTGTCTCCACTATTTTTGCCGCATTTGCCTTTAGGTTGGTATGCCTACAAAACCCTTCAAGTTTGTTATTGTTTTCATTATCTTTTGACTTGTGTGTATGAACATGTCTGATGTCTTTTCTACAGGTATGGTTCCAGAACCGCAGGGCAAAATACCGGAAGCAGGAAAAGCAATTGGCCAAATCGTTGTCTCCAGTCATCAACCCAGCTTGTAATGGGATGATGAGAAACATATACCCCACGACATCCCGACCCTATGCTGCTTATCCAACTCCCACCAACATGAACACGATGGCACGCTATCCACAGATGAACTCCTCGTATCCTCCTGTAGCCCAGTTCGGTGGGATGAGTAGTATGCCTACGGGCAACATGGCGTCGATGCCCCGTCAGGTGCAACAGTTCCAGATGACACCAGACTACAACTTGGTTAGTGTTTAGACCTTGGGTCATTATGCTGCGCTTGAAAATGTTACTGATAGAAGATACGAATGTGTTTGTCTTATATTTGGCACGAAATTACGTATGCATTTTGAAGTTAAATTGACACAATATAGGTGCTGCTGTTAGAGAAAAACGAAATACTGTTTCACTTGTAAAAAAATCTAAACTGCATAAAAATACATATATATCCAATTTCAAATACATCAATCCAGTAATAATAAAAGCCACCGTAAGACAGAATTATAAACACAGCAGAACATTAATATAGTCCACTTATTCAATTTCTTTGTTTCCTTTGACAAAAAGTCATCTGAATTTTAGAACGTCTCAATATCATCTGATATAACATATTATATCATTTTCCTGTGATAGTACTCTATACACTACCAGTATTTCTACTCCCTCGATTGTCTATCTGCCTTCATAACGGGGTTGTTTACATTTACATTTATGTTTAAATGGTTTGCCATATGTCCAATTACAAAACCTGTTATTTCAATTAAAATGTTTATTTGTTTGTTTTATTTAAAATCAGGAGTCCCACGAGGATGATTGGTACAATAAAAGTTTGACGGCACTCCGAATGAACAACGCACACCATGGGTTGTCCAACTCCGTACTACAGTATCAAGCATGACTGTCAAACTCGGCGACTCCCGGCGCCGGAGCGCCAACTTATTTATATGAGCAATAGACAATCGGCGCTTTAGCGCTGCGGATGCCAACCGTTAACGGACAATCAAAACTTACTACAGCAGTATTACGAAGATGATAAAGCGATCTCGCCTAACGATGGAAAGATGCAGATCATTACAATTTGTGTAAAATAAACATGCATGTTACGTTTCGAATCGTTAGCAATTCGATAAATATACATTACTTCAGTGCTTGCCAAATAATATGGAATGTGTTTCCATTGAAGGAGGACTTGTGTAAATATTTAGATGTGATTTCCTTGTCGATGCATTTCGAACTGGCAATTGTGTGCCATATTCTTTTCCGGAGTTGTAGAAATTTAGACTATGGGTGAGGATTACATAAACATGAAAGCCAAAGTCAGAAGTCCACCACAGGAATACGTTATGTCTAACGGAACTGAAGTTCAATATGCTTTTTATGCATGTATAACACAGACCAGTGGTTGATAGTTCTCTACATGCAATATAATTTTGTAAACATACTGAGAGGATGCATCTATAGGGAATAATATATATATATATTATTTACATGTTTTGTCGTCATTATAAAATATAAATATTAATTGTTCCACTTTAGATATTGTAAAATACTTTTATCACGTGTATTGAAGCAATAATTTATGTAATGTAAATGTTTAATATTTGTGTAATTGTCATTATCAATATTTTGTTGAAAGGTAAATTCAAGGATTCCTCAAAATATATGTCATCAATATACCGTTATATAGAAGTCTTCTATACCTTATTTTCATGAAAACATACGTCATTTATAATTCCTTATGAAATCCATGTTTTCTGCTCGTTTCAGTATTGTCACTAAAATTGAACAAAAAACACTACGTTTTCATTTTCTGTCAATTTTACGACAATACTTGTTTATGGTTTTGAAACTTAAACTATAACAATACTATTGCTAACATGCCACTGTTCAATTCCCCTGATTTGTATACCCTGCTTCGTGTGCCATGCTGGTACAGTTGTAAAGAGCCAAATATATTGTACATATCACGGAGTGTGACTTCAATTAATAGACTCGATAAAACACTTTTATCTCTGTTGTTATTTTTTTAATTTCCTATCCTCAATTGACATATCCTTACATTGCGCTGTCTCCAAAAGATGTAAGGAAAACAATTTACGCGTTCGATATTTTTTCTGTGCGTCACCATGTTTTTATTTCATTAGTAACATATCTATTGTACCATTCCTTTTTTTAAAATAAATTTTATTTAATTATTTTGGAATACATCAGTTATTGCGTGTTCTAATCATCTAGTGTTTCATTGAGAACACGAAAAATTCGCAGGCTATTTAAATGAAGTTAAATTAGTTTACTTAAATGCACAATTCGCTTTATACTAAAATGAATAGCACACATTTCACCAGAAATTTGGGATTAAGGGAAATTGTTGATTTTTAATATACTTCACATTGTTATTGGCGATAAGCATGTTAGTAACACGTGCATTTCTGAAAACGCAGATTACAATAAGTAGTTCTATAATTTATTATAAACTGAAGAAATTATTAACGGTAACTAATAAATTCTGATACAATATTTTACGGTACTGGTAAATACTTCATTCATCAAACCCAGTATTGCTGCTACTTTGTTTGTATATTTCAAACAAGTCGACCCATTCCATTTAACCACATCTATGACATCTTCGTGTTATTTTTGTTTAGAATCGGAAAAATAATTACCAGCAATTATCAAAATGATAACTACTTAAAACATATTTATCATATGCTTTACAAAATTAGTTTACCTTAGTCTTGTTACGTTATCTTCGTCAACAATAAACTGTTTGATCTACATGTATAAGCTTAATATACGAAATACGAAATATAAATTGGTATCAAACTGGTGTAGTTTGAGTGCTAATATTTGATGTTACAGTTTTCCAGTAATGAAAGAATATATATCGTTATAGATCGGCCTGTAACTTAAAGTCAAAGTTTGAAGATTGTGCAAAAGACACAAGTGAACAGCACCTTTAAATATAAATGCAGATGAGTTAGAGTAGAGTCACACAAATAATTAGACGGTCACATACAGCTGTTTCGTCCTTCTAGATTAGTCAGTGATGCTATGACTATGGAAAATTCAAAGAGATCCAGAGAAATGTCAAAATCTAGAAGGGGAGGTGCACTAGTACCACAATTAAGTAAATTTCGTTTTTTTCATATATCTGGTAATTTTAGAAGAAAGCCAAGTGTATGTTTTGGACGTGCAACTATTAAAGCATGGCAAATTAAATACAAATAAAACAAAGACATTTTCTGAGTAATAAAATACTTTCCGATTTATTTACTGAATTCACAAACTTGTATACAACCAGACTGAGCTACCACCATCACAAACATACGTACACGCACATACATCCAAATATGGAATGTGAGAGGCGGGGGATATATTCAATGTAACTTGTTTGTCCAAAAACATCATTGAAGTTATGGTAGAAATATTGTGATTTCATGGCAAGGTACCAAAACAATCACATCCTGAAATTTAGTCCCGACCGGTAATACAGATTTGCCTAATTACATATCATACGAAAGAGGTGGAAAAGGCTAGCGAGATTCCGCTTCATCGAGATCCTTTTAATCAAATCAACCGTGATTCGTACGTTCAATAGTGTACATAAACTATACAGTCATGTAAGTTTGAAAGAAGCAAGATAGGTTTAACTAAAATAACACAGTCTCTGTTTGAATTATTGTCATAATAAAAAAACTACATTGATTACAGACAAATATTCATTCGACAGAAACCATAATTATATATTGGAAACAAGGACAAAGATTTAAATAAGTAAACGGCTATTTATCAAGGCCTTTTTATCAAATATATCATTAACGTTCACTCATTCTTAAATCAATATATTCATGTAGTTTTTTTTCTACATATAAACTATGACATCAATAATGACACGTTTTACAGTTTACACTTATACACACAAAATATGTGACCACATTCATAAAGAAGATATCATGTCCATTTCAACTCCAGGGAAACGATGAAAATCACAACAGAAATGTTGAATATAAATTTGAACACAATTTTGTCCTGGCCTTTCAACAACTGTTCTCCATTTTCGTCAATCTAGTAGACGCTGCAAAATGTATCGCAGGACATTTACCATATATAAATAATATGTAAACACTTTGTGTGACCGAAAATAAAATTGTCAACAAGTAAATAAGCTTAATTTGTATCAACAAATTTGACTAGTTCATCCTATAAAATTATCAATCGTTCTTCAATCACCTGTTTGGGGTTCGTGTATTTTTCTCATATATTTGTTACGAGAGTAAATCCCGAACTGAAACAACTATATCTAAGTACATTATTTTAATTCACCTCAAAAACTCAAATCTGAGGTTGTTTAAAGCTAAATATAAGATGATAGCAGAGTAGGTAATATAAAGCACTAGATGAGTATAAATACACACGCAGTTACACCGGCACACTCTGTACATCACTAGTGAAAGGAATGGATTTCTATCACCCTGCCCTGTGTTGTGAAAATGAGTTCCAGGTAAATTATTTATTTGGTTTCAAACAATTCGGCAGAAAAAATAAACATTAAAAAAATGTACAAATTTCTATAAAACATTAACAACAATTTGTATCCAAATTTACTACATCTATTAAAATGTCCAATCTCTAAACTAACACTATGTTTTCAATATATGCCAAAGAAAAGTTGTATATTTGAAATGAGACATTGTTAAAAAATACTTAAATGCAATATATGTCCATTTTCAATCCCGGTGCGCATTTTGGTATTCGGCAGTGATCAACAACTTCATTTTGTGACGAAATAAAACCTTTACTGATTGTTAGAAAATACAGATTTTAGTTGATCATTGAAGAATATTGTAACCATTCTATGGGATTGGCTATATCTTGTAGTGCTGCCAGGAGAATTCTGGTGCTTTGAGTGTTATACTTTCCTATTCAGTAATAAACCATACAATTAACTTTCCTTTTAGATTCGAAACAAGCGCAATTTCCCTTAAGCTGAACCAGCATACCTGTTGTTCATTAAAATACCAGAAGAAGGGAAAAGATCCATGTAATATTTTATATGAAAAGTCAAATACTGACATTGTCTGTGGATATAAATATTGAAGAAATTTACAAAATTAAAGGGGAAAACAAAAAGAAAATTAAAGATTAACAAAATCGACAATATAAGGCTTTTGAAATGATTCCATGAATTGATGGAATAAACTAAATACTCATACGATACACCATGTCAACATTTCCAACAGATCATTTTAGGCCTATGAAAACACTCTCTATAACTTATCGGTCCCTTGTGCTTTTCGTTGAGCCTTAACGAACTCGGTGTAGGTAATATAACCGTCCTTATCTAAATCATCCTCTTTGAGAACCATTTCTACAATGTTGCTCAGTTCTTCGTCACTAAACACTTTTTTATTTGCTGCTTGCTCTTCCGGGGTCCCTTGTTCATTTTCGTCTGAAAAAGAACATTGTCTTGATTGTTTATTAAAGGGGTAATACAGAAGTGACAATGAAAACCTATAGTTTCTGTAACAAAGAAAAAGAATATGTATATAAGAACTTCAGAACATAAAAAACACAAAGGTGTATATCAGAACGCCAATTGAGCGTACAGAGAAAACATCAATATAAAAAACGTCAGCAAACTGGTAATCTACACAAGTCTTACGACCAATTTTATACCTCGAAGTTTACATAATAACAGAAACCAGTGACCTCAAACCAAACTCACCAGTTAAAGGTATATTGTTGAAAAATACGCAAAATGATACGAGACCCTCTTGAATAACGATACATATGTACACATGACTTTTTAACAAAATATATATTTTATGACATTTTCTCAAAACTTCAATAGACATAGACATGAAACTGTTTCAGATAATCTGTACTCACAATTTCAAATAAAACAGAAAAAAAGATCAGTTAGAAATATCTCAAATGAAAAAAAAATCGTTTTACAAAAGCTTAACATGATCTTTACAAAGACATCATTACGCGAGGATTATTGAATATTTCGGCTTGATTAGAACCATATTTCAATGGTATATGACTTAAAAGTGCAAACATTTAACAGCAACTGCCATAAACACTTCACACGAAGCAGTTATCTTAAAAGAACTTAGAAGAAATAACAATTATAAGAAAAAAAGTCTTGAACTGCTAAATACGTTCTTTTAACGTAAGCGTGTTTCGGTGAAAAAGAATGCGTCGAATAAGATTATTCTTTAAATGAAAGAACGAAAAACGTTGAGTAATCTTTTGATGGTTGATTTTGAAACACTTAAAACCTAGAATGGCAATGCCCGTTCGAGAACGACGAGCTGAGCTATGCAGCTCTCGACCCAAGCTTGTCACAATATTTCCTCAAGAGGGCACTCGATATCTGTAATTGATTCCGATAGCTACAGAGGCCGGGTCCACGACTGTGGGGTGCATTGTCTGTCCTCATTACTTCATTATTCCCACTTCTCTCCGCACGAATTATCATGCTGAGTGATTTGCATACCTAGGCCTGGTCCCGAGTGGCTTGTAGACTCACCGGTATTTACTCAACCAACGCACAATTGTCAATAATTAAAAGCCTGCCACCTGGCAGTTTCTACGAGGGAGGCGTGGCTCGAAAGGCACCAGGGACTTGTACAAATCAGTGTTAGTTTGGGTATTGGGGTGTTGAAAGCAAACTACCAAGATGAAAGTGAATGAAGATCCCATAAAATCGATACATAACATCCAATAAAAGGGGCTGAAGTATTGTGTACTGCTGTCAGCTATAAGTCGTGGGACGACCCAAATAGGACTGAGGATTTGAGACAAGCAGGAATACGGGTAGCGGAAGTCATTTTTTAGTGTCCTCTGACGTCTGACGTGCGGTCGTCAGACATGGAATAAGGATCACCAGGCAAATGATTGGCAGATTTGGTTACAGTGGGAAGGACCTCACACCACAGTCTATGCTGATGTATTCATTAAACAAGATAACTTCTGACGTTTTGTAACGCTACGGTTCTATAATCTTCGTAATTAAAACACTCAAACGTCAAATATAATTTTGTCTGATACCTTCAGTAGCTCCTGATCTAAAGTTTACAGGTAATGTTCCTGATGAAATGAGATAGAGTTGATACTTGTCAGGGAATTAAGAGTATGACTAATCACTTTCGCTTTTTCAGACGTTTGTGTATCAATTTCTGTTTAACTTACTGACGTTAATTACTAAAATTCATCCAAGTTCTCCACTTTACCTTCTATAACTAATTATATAATAATTAATTACTATATATATGGGTATGCATTAATTTATATTCACGAATTACTTGAACTAAAGAGAAAGATTTTACTATAAATGTACAGCTAACATGAAATACTCCAGCAAGTTTTGAAGTTTTATTACACAATAATTTCTATAAAATACATGTGAATTCCACAATAACCTCGACCTTTCAGAATTCGGCCCTGGCTGTATTCCAAGACCTCACCAATGCTTTCCACTATAATAGCACATACATATAATTCAATTCAATATCATGATAACAGTTATAATTGCATGTTATTTGATGGCAAATTTTAGCATCATAGAAATAACTAACTCAGGTTCACAATTGTAAAATATCTAACTAGTTGCAGGCCTGTCATCCTTTGTTCTCACGTCTTCAATAAATAAACAAGTCCGACATGTGACTTTAACATCGATTTGGGATTAAAATGGTATCTTTTAATGTCAGAAATTATACTGTTAAATAATCAATAATACGGGACATCGACATATACAAGTGTAAATAAACCCAAAACTTAGCTTATTAAAAGTGAAATTACAAATGACAAAGAAGTAGTAAAATAACAAAAGATATAAAAATAAAAAATAACTGGAAAGTTGGTGCATTGCATGCATGTGGCGGACCTTTCCCGGAATAACGGTTCGTTAAAGGTGGTCAAAATTCGATGATAGATTCTTCTAAACTTACCGAAGGATGAGGCCGTTAGTTTCGATTTGCCGAACTTTCCTTTACATTTCAACAAACAATAGTCGTAATTCACTCAGTACACAGAGTCATAGAGGATATGTGTTTTGGCAATGATCGAGAGTTTTTATAAGGAATGAGTCTTCTGATGTCATGTGTGTACTTTTAATGACAACATAACCACCGGTCTATGAAGTCAGCGTATTCTAAAGAAAACTTCTATATTGACATACGAACTGAATTACCTGTAAAAGAAACTACTAATCAACATATTTAACCACCTGGTTTAATCTAATTTAACCAACCTTTCAACTTGTTTAACGGGTTTCACAGCCATGTTTAACCTGCTTGCGTTACCCATTTCACCAGCTTTCTGACACGTTACCACCTAATTTAACTTATTTAACCAACCTTTCGACTTGTTTAACGGGTTTCACAGCCATGTTTAACCTGCTTGCGTTACCTATTTCACCAGCTTTCTGACACGTTATTCACTTGCTTTAACCTATCTAACCACCTGTTTAACCCATTTAACTGGTTTCACGGTTATGTTTAACTCGATTAGCCTGGTTATCTAACCAGTTTAACCTTGTTTAACCTGTCTGCTCAGCTTTCTACCATGGTTTTACCACTTCATATTGTCCAGTGTTCGGTACTTTTCTTTTTGTAGCCATTCCGTCCTGTACCATATCATTTCTTTTAAGTCGCTAAGTGTTTCTGTTGATCACGAAAGTAACTTAAACCAAATGGTTTTCGGGTAGGACCGTAGTGATTCCTCGTTTTGTTCATTATTTTTTTAATTTTAAACATTTCTATTTGTTAGATTCATAAAAGAAGGCACTGAGCACAAGTACAAGCAAAGCATAGGAACTCTTTCTCTGTGTCATGTATCGTACAACATCAATTTTTCAACATTTATTCCGAGATTTCAGACCATCCAGTCAGGGTATGCTACCTTAATGGACGAACAGGCTTACAGTGTTGAAGTGAAGTAACATATATTCAGTGGCTTACAAACGTTATCTCTATGCAGTAATCGCAGTAATAGAAGATATGACGTAATACATTATTTTATATACAGGAATCTGTACAAATGGCATCTCTATGCAGTAATCGCTTCTTACAACACAGTCATACAAAACTTCCACCAGAGGTTATCACGATTTTACAATAGTTTTAAGCGACAATAATATATCTATACCGAGGTTATCAAGATTTTACAATAGAATTTTAAGTGATAATAATAATATAGATGTCTACTACCAAAATAATTGAGCATCGTCACACTACAGACTTAATTTTTAATCAGATCTTCATGAAAAGGTTGATTCTTCAAAGGTACAGCTTCTGCGATAAAATGGACCGATTCACTTAAGGAATTTTAGTGCTTTTTGTCAATAGAAGCTATTTTCATTTTACTGCAATGATGCTTTATGTATATACTCATGAAGTTCACTTAAACAAAATACATTTATTCCCATAAAGTTATAACATTATAAGTCAAACAATAAGTAAACCTTAAAGCCATTGTTAATATCCTTACAATGTTGACATCATCAATAATCCGCGAGCCATGGCAAATTTCATGTCCACGTCTATATCTTGACCTCTAGGTTTAGACGTGGTACACTTTTATGAATAGAATTTTGGATTGTTTTTTTCTGTCAAATTGTTGTGAAACTTAAAATGCGTTAACAACCATTGCGATTTTGTTCCTAACTCTGTGGTTGAAAAGAAAAACAATTTTAGTTTGCTAGTCATAAATAAAACGTCAGTTTGTGATTTATTTATCCAGGTAAGTATATTTTCTATCCCCACCACTTTTCTTCTAGCTTCTCTACCCACTACTTCTCTGGTTGCATCAATATTTCTTTTGTGATCATTAATTATTGTATTATTTTCTATTTTTTTCATGTATGGCATGACACAGCCTCTTATACTTTTGTGTCCCTCTTGTACAAACACTTTTCTCTATTAACTTCCGGGTCCCTCTTGTACAAACACTTTTCTCTGATTACTTTTGTGTCCCTCTTGTACAAACACTTTTCTCTATTAACTTCCGGGTCCCTCTTGTACAAACACTTTTCTCTATTAACTTCCGGGTCCCTCTTGTACAAACACTTTTCTCTGATTACTTTTGTGTCCCTCTTGTACAAACACTTTTCTCTATTAACTTCCGGGTCCCTCTTGTACAAACACTTTTCTCTATTTACTTCTGTGTTCCTCATGTACAATCATTTCTCTCTGTTTACTTCCATTTCCCTCTTGTACAAACACTTTTCTCTATTAACTTCCGTGTCCCTCTTGTACAAACACTTTTCTCTATTAACTTCCGGGTCCCTCTTGTACAAACTCTTTTCTCTATTAATTTCCGGGTCCCTCTTGTACAAACACTTTTCTCTATTAACTTCTGTGTCCCTCTTGTACAAACACTTTTCTCTATTAACTTCTGTGTCCCTCTTGTACAAACACTTTTCTCTATTAACTTCCGTGTTCCTCTTGTACAAACTCTTTTCTCTATTAACTTCCGGGTCCCTTTTGTTCAAACTCTTTTCTCTATTAACTTCTGTGTCCCTCTTGTACAAACAATTTTCTCTATTAACTTCCGGGTCCCTCTTGGACAAACACTTTTCTCTATCAACTTCTGGGTTCCTCTTGTACAAACACTTTTCTCTGATTACTTTTGTGTCCCTCTTGTACAAACACTTTTCTCTATTAACTTCTGTGTCCCTCTTGTACAAACACTTTTCTCTATTAACTTCCGTGTTCCTCTTGTACAAACTCTTTTCTCTATTAACTTCCGGGTCCCTCTTGTACAAACAATTTTCTCTATTAACTTCCGGGTCCCTCATGGACAAACACTTTTCTCTATCAACTTCTGGGTTCCTCTTGTACAAACACTTTTCTCTGATTACTTTTGTGTCCCTCTTGTACAAACACTTTTCTCTATTAACTTCCGGGTCCCTCTTGTACAAACACTTTTCTCTATTTACTTCCTTGTCCCTCTTGTATAAACACTTTTCTCCATTAACTTCCGGGTCCCTCTTGGACAAACACTTTTCTCTGCTTACTTCTGTGTCCCTCTTGTACAAACTCTCTCTGTTTCTCTTATCACAACCACTTTTCTCATTCATTCTGTGTCGCTCTCCCCACAATAACCTTTTCTCATTCATTCTGAGTCTCTCGCCTCATAACAACTACTTCCTCATTCCTTCTGTGTATCTCTCCTCACAGTCACCTTTTCTCATTCATTCTGAGTCTCTCTCCTCATAACAACCACTTCCTCATTCCTTCTGCGTATCTCTCCTCACAATCACCTTTTCTCATTCATTCTGTGTATCTCTTATCACATCCACTTTTCAACTTCCTGTCTAGTTTGTGTTTCAATCACTTTTTCACATAACTTTCATGCATCTCTAGTCACAATCGCCTTTTCTATTTATTTCAGTGTCTCTCTTGTAACGATCACTTTTTCATTTCCAAATTTCTCTTTTTCCAATTACTTTTTTTCTATTAACTTTGCCACTGTCTTGTTGAAACCATTATTTTTGAAGAAACCGTAATCACTTTCAAATTCTTACCTTATTAAGATGCATAACATAGGGAAGACATATCATGTTACGCACGGTTTATCTTTACATTACATGTTCATTGCAGTTCAAGATATCTTACTTCATTAACAAGATCATTTCCATGACATGTTACAGAACAGTGATCACAATTACAGAAATTGAGTTCCAAGGAAATATTGTTTTATTTTATTCCACGTCTCTCTTGTTGCATCCACTTTTTAAATCAACTTTTGTATTTCTCTTTCCATAACTACTTTTTCCCTTTTTTCCATTTTTGTACATCACTATCTCTGGAGCAGAACATCCAGATATCATCATTTTGAAGCCTCTCTCTGAACAAACTTTTTACCTTTTTATCTTTTTTTACATAAATGTTAACATCAATTACTTAAGGCTAATTGAAATCAAATATTTCCATTAGGAAACATATCTATGTTTTTTAAACTAACATTCTGCTATCATTAAACATTGTATACTCAAATTCATCAATTGTTCTTTTTCAAAGCAGCAAATATTTACACTTTAAACAAAATCAGCATTTACATGAAATTTACATCATATGTCTATGTAGAAAATGTTGATCTGTTTTTCACATTTCAAACAATATCTGGTTAAAGAATGTACCAAAGACACAAGTTCATAGCAGGAGAATGATAAAGGGAATTTATATGAATATACATAAGCTCATAATTTTAGATAAAAAAAAAATGCTAAAATGTTCATTAATCAGATTAAAATCAGCTGCTATATGGCTCAGTTTACTACATTTAATTTGAACACCTAGAGAATGTAGTAAAGGAAGTCATGCAACAGCTGATTTAATCCGAATGAAAAAAGATCATCAGTAGTTTCAACATCAAACTGTATATATTTGAATACTTTATATATATTACAGACAGAAATTGTGAGCATATTGAAAAAAATACTTGTTATAACATTTTTTAAAAAGAAATTGATATATTTTTGTTTTCTCCCCTTACTTACCATGAAAATGAGTAATGGCCTTGGTGATCTCAGTTCCATCTAATTTGTTGTTGCTATCATAATCATGTAGTTTAAAGTAATGAAATTCTAACTCTTCTTCTGTCATTTCGTCTTTTGGTTTGTCAATCACTTCCTTCAAATGCTCCCTTATGTGCCTGTTACACAACCAAACATTTAATTATCTGTTATTGGTCATCAACATAAGAAATGTATTTGCCGTATTCACACTTATAAGTCATGGTCTAAGGGCAGATAACTCTCAACCTAACAAAAATTTTAATTTTCTTTTCAGACTTTTCTAAGGGGAGCAAATAAAAAATATGGATTTGGGAAAGTGAAAAATATAATACAATTTTATTAAATCAAATTGAATCAATTATGTATGATTACTAATATATAAAGTGGTTTGAATATTTGTGTACATCATTTGTAACCAATGTTTGAGTGTAAAAGAGTTTGTCAAACAGCAGGAAAAAGGTCATTATGGTTTTGACCCTTGTATACAAAGGACCTTATAGGAGTTTCCATTTCACACAAGGTTTATTAAACAAGACTAAGAAATTTTTGTTTTAATGAGCCTCTAACAGGGTAAAATGAAAATAATTTTGTGATGAATTTAATGAATCTTTTCTAAAATAAAAACGAATGAGACTCTGTTGACCACATGGTCTGAATTTAAGAAATTGCAAAGCAGCATTTTATCATAGTGGTATAAAATCATAGTCTGGATATTCTAACTTAATATTTCTTTCTCTGGTGAGGTTACAAAGTTTAATATGATGCCATGTTATAATGAAATGACAACTGAAACAATGGGGTTGTTCACACACTGCTCATCTTGCTTATTCTATGACATATTATTGTAATAGAAGCAGAAAAGAAATGTCCAGGGTTCAAATCCAGTACCCTCCAAATTCTAGACAGACTCTCTACCAATCAAGATACCTCGCCACCAACAAATGCAGAAAGAGGGAATTTCCGCTGCATTCCTCTACAAAGCAGATTCATCTTTATAAATATTTTCATTGATTCATAGAAAGGATGCATTTCTTTTACCAGGTGCTACTTACTCTGCATTGTGGACCTGCTCTTTCTGCCTAAATCCTCCTGCATGGCGTCCCATACCACTGCCCGATGGAACACCCTGTTGCATTTCTTGGACATTAACATCCTGGTAGTGACCAGTGGCCTGAAGATTCTGCTGTTGACCAGCCTGGAACTGAGCTTGTTGACCCTGGTTCAGTTGCGCCTGCTGACCTTGGTTGGCAAATGCTTGCTGTTGACCTTGTTGTGCCCCATGTTGATGTCCTTGCTGTTGGGTGTTGAGCGGAGGAATCCCTGGTGGGCGGTTTTCATGTAAGGCCACATGTCCAACAAAGACGCTCAAAATCAGGCACAAACACTTCATATACATCCTTAAATCTGAAAGAAAAATTGGCATACAGTATCCAGTATGTGAACTGGTTTCTTTTTATCTCATGGTACATTGCAAAGTGTCACAACATTTTTTTTACAGAATTTACTAATTTCAGGGGCTTTGAACATAATTAAGCGTGTAAAAGTGTACAAGTTGAGAGTAAAGGTCATCTTACTGGCCTCAGTTAGTGGGAATTTCACAGAGGAGCAGTAGAGTGTCCGGTTATAGATAGAAAGATCGCTAGTTTGAACACTACCAGTGGCTGGGTGGTTTTCTCAATTTCTTCTTATTACAAAAGGAGTAGGTCAGTGCGGCTTGTTTTATAGTACAGTGGACTACTTAACATCATTTTCCAGTTACTATCATGTATCAATATATATACATATATATATATCATGAATCTATTTCAGTCTGCTATTCAGCAGAAATGAGTAATGTACCTCTGTCAAAGATCGAACCTACAACCTCTGGCTGATTGGTCCGTCCCTCTATCTATCGTGCAAAAGGCAAATCCTTTTTGAGCGAAGCTAGAAGGCAACTATACCTCTAGGTGCATTAAAAACATGTCACAGTTCATTTGATAGACCTGTGGATTCTACTGGGGTACCCAGTATGAAAGTGTGGTTAAGATTAAGAATACTTCGGACTAATATTCTTCCGCATGGGTCTGAATAAAAGTCGGAATCCAGTCAAAAATTATATCTATTCAGGAATTATGTGATTGGATCACTATATCAATATATTATTGATCCGAGAAACGGTGTATCCACCTGTTAACTGGCGTACTGACATATGGCAGTATGGTAAATATTTCCTTTTGAGAAAGAAATGAAACCTAGTAGGCCAGTGAAAAGTTTCAATACAACAGCAATTGATGCAGACAAAATTGAACGTTATTGGGCATATCAAATTCGCCGATCATCAGAATAACGTCAAATACTTAAGAAAGCAGAGAATATTTACCCGGATCAGCTGTTACACGTGTACCAGTTATTTTTAACAGTCTTGTCTACAATACGCTTAAACAATGAACACAAAAATTCTTTGTATTGAAGAGTTTACAAGACCTGAGTCGATTGGGATGACATCTGGTGGTCTTAATATAGTAAACAGTAAATATCATGCATACACACATGATTTCACATTAGTATTTCCACAATAGAACGTAGGACTATGGAAAAGTTTAATGAAATGGAGAGTGAAGATCAGCAAAATACCAACATTGACGACAGCGATTTAATGGTAAAGCAACTGATCTTTAAGAAATACGTCTTCATGAAAGAGTTTCCCGCGGTGACATTTTTGTCATGGTTATCTCCCTTCGATCACAGAAAAAAATCTTCCTACGACTCGTTGAAGTTGATTTACATAGATATAAAAGTGTAATTTAAACTGTTGTTAATGATGTAACGATAACTTGATAAAACATAAATTTCCACACACTTCTCATTGTTGAAATATACAAAATAATATAGTTGCAAATTAAATTTTACATAAACTGTTAACAGTTACCTTGAAATTTTGTTTATAACTGTTTGGGTTTTAATGATTTTCAACATAATTAAAGTGTCTTTTTTGTTTTTTGTTTTGAAGATATAGGTACATAAGTATAAGGAATACGTACCTGTTATTTTACTATTTCAATTGCATTACTGTTTTCAGAAGGATGTGTGTGAACTTTTGATGGGAGATAGTATGACACTGGAGAATGCAGATCAGACACATTGTACAGCTGTAGATTGGTTCAAGAACTGGGCTACTACATTCCAGCACCAAAATTATCAGAGTAATTAGTTTTTAGTATTTCACAGGAAAAACAATCATTGCAAGTTTCCTCTCCATGACAGGGCAGACATCTTGTACATTGTAATTGCAGACATCCTCTGATACATAAGTCTAGTAACACAAACTTTGGTTGAAGTAGATAATCAACCAATTTAAACAACATGAAATTGTATTGAATTTTTTCAGTGTAACATAGGTCATTATTCATTTCAAAAAAGGACTTTCAATTTACTATTTTAATACTTAGCAGATGAAAGAGGAAATCTGTCTAGCTGAGCAGTAAATTGCTGCTAGTATTTACAAAAGTTACTTTAGCATGTTTGATGTTCTGCAATGTATCTGTATTATGTGTCATATGGATACTGAGGAACAAGGATATCTGGAGTAACAGATCTCTGAGGATTTTTGATATTGAAAAATGACATTTTATTTATACTAAACTGTAAACGGTATTATAATTATATTCACAATTATTCATTATTTTTCTTAAATTTGAAGTTAATATATGCAAGAAAAAAGATAATACAAATATAAAGTAAGACTTGAAATAGCTAGTCTCTTATTACTCCTGTGAAAATACATATCGCTTTTGCTTCAAGCTTTTTACAAAACTTTAAAAATTTAAACATAGACTTTAACTACTTTTAAAATAAAAGTTGTTTGTATTTTTGTCTTGTATATTTTTACAATTACATTTCATGATTATGTATCTAAAGGCAGTCTGCTGCATCCCTACCTGGTGACCGTTCTCAGGGACTACCTTCTCATGCACGCTTGGAAAAACAGTCTTGCTGTGCTTCGTCTCTTGGGTGATGATCCCAATCACACTGCCATTTCTCTGTGGAAGGTCAGATCAATTAATTCATTCTTGATTCGTTATCAGGCTGACTGCATCATTCTTACAGGCAAATATCAAAATTTTCTTGTGTTGTATCCAGTTTGCTGTTCTGTTTGACCTATTGTAAGAACATAGAGCGAAGACCTCCTGTCATATACTGTAAAATCCAATATTTTCTTGGAGCTATATTTGAGTGGTTTTTTTTCAAAAAATGTGAAGGCTTGATAAATATAGCTCAATAAATCTGCTATGTTAACTTTAACAGTTCATGGACATAAGAATTCATTGATTACGAGTATCCATCAAATCAATGAAAATAAAACTCCTACAAAAACGAAGGATTTCATAATAATCTACACTGTTGTAAACATTTGAATATTTGCACATTGAAAGTCACTGTTTTTGGAACGTTGATAAGAATCAATGACAAGTGCTTTTCCAATGATATATTTTGAACAGATATTCTGATCTCAATTTCTGAATAAAACCACAGCAACCTGGGTATAAGATTTAGATGTTTAATAATCTGACATGTTTTGGAGAGGCTTTCTTTACCTGGATGAATATAAACTTTTCCACCCTAAGTTTGAAAAAATAAAAAAAAAATATGAAGTATTTTTATCAATTATACAACCAAACTTCAGTGTTCTTTAACAATGTTAAATACCAGTACTTTCTGGTTGGCTTTGCAGATTCTTTCTTATTTTTTTTTTATCTCTGTGTAGGTGGGGATGGAGATCATGTATTCAAATCCAGACAAAAACAAGGGCCTTATTGAACATTATGTCAGGTAAGTTAAACCCAAGTAAGATTTCAGAATGAAGAATTAAAACCATTATTTGGTTTTCTGTGGGTTGTTCCATATTTATTCTCCCATTATTTGATATCATCTCTAATAATGTCTTTCAGACTTAAAATATATGTAATCACGCAGGTAAAATAAATGAGATTTTGTGTCAATAACATTTCAATACAAAGTCAAATACTTTACAAAGGCTATCAGAATATATTCTTGTAAGCAAGTAAAGATGTGATACACTTGCGTTTTTCTGTAGAATTTTAAATATTCTGATTTGCATGAAATGTTTTTTTTTTCTCTGCTAGGAAATTGAAAGAAATGAGTGATTTAGAAATCAAGGATGTTATACTGGAGTATGTGATGTATTTACTACACAAGGGTGAACTAGACGAGGCCAAACATGCTATGTTGGTAAGGGAGATAACTGAGAAGGCATCTAGAATTGTTAAAAATAAGATGTTTTCCTGATATAAAAAAAAATGACAGAGACAGGGAGAGGGGTGTGAATTGACAAAACAGGCCTTGTTATTGAGATTATTGACAGGAAAGCTCAGACTGGCTGAAAGCCCATTCTTATTAGAAGCAATTTATTGGAAAGGAATCTAGAATTTGTAAATCAAGTAAAGTTGATAATAACCTAACAAAGAGGGAAGTTATACCTGATCAAACTAACCCTGTTGGTAAGGGAGATCACTGAATGGGAAGTTATACCTGATCAAACTAACCCTGTTGGTAAGGGAGATCACTGAATGGGAAGTTATACCTGATCAAACTAACCCTGTTGGTAAGGGAGATCACTGAATGGGAAGTTATACCTGATCAAACTAACCCTGTTGGTAAGGGAGATCACTGAATGGGAAGTTATACCTGATCAAACTAACCCTGTTGGTAAGGGAGATCACTGAATGGGAAGTTATACCTGATCAAACTAACCCTGTTGGTAAGGGAGATCACTGAATGGGAAGTTATACCTGATCAAACTAACCCTGTTGGTAAGGGAGATATATGTGAGAGAAATGATCTAACATTGATCAAGCATTGGCAAGGTAGATAACTCATACATTAAGTTTAACAACAGTGTGACCTTTGCCCACTAGGATATACCCAAATTAAAAGGTGCAAAGAAGTGGGACAGGGAAAAGTTTCCAAACAGAGACCTGGTATTTCAGGCATACCAGGGACTTTTATACTACACTCACTGGAACCTGGACAGACAGCACCTGACCTCACAAAGCACACAAATGGATGGTGAGTGTCCTATACTGCTTCCTATGAAACGTTTGGGGGTACTTTCTGTGGTGATTTAAACATATAACATCATTTCAAGGATGAAAACTTCCATGGCAACCACATAGAGATACACATAATTTATTCATCCGATTTCTAGGCTTTTCTATAGCTGCAAAAACAACGAAAATTTCTACACAATGATCAGGAATATTTCTTGTGATATATACACTATTTAGAGTGTTATGAGGGGAAGTGAAATTCATTCAAATGACATGGCTGTGTTAGAGCAAAGAATATTGAACATGAATTTAAAACTTGTAAAATAACCTTTTGTTTTTAATTTGGTTTTGACTGACATGATCATTGTGATTCCTGAGTAGCTGTTAAGATCTCACCATTTCTTTCTAGATTATTTACATTCTCGTTTTATTTACTTGTTTGTTTTTCATATCAGAGGATGAATTCAGACAAGGCCTGTATTATTCTGATACAGACACACTTAAGGATAGTGCAGAGAGGGCAATTGCATGCTTCTCTCAGCTTTATGATCACTTGGGGGTGTGGGATATCTTCATCACCAAACATGTCCAGGTAGGCAAGTTTGACACATATTCTTCTTTCTGTTTAGCAGTAGCAATAACACTGGATAGTTCATTACTGAAAAACATGTTGCATTCATTATTGTTCTACATGAGAATCTGTAATTCATGTTTGGAAAAATTTGCTAAAGTTTAAAATGTTTTGACGAGGCAAAATTCTTTCACACAACGCTCTGATTATTCTTGTGGGGGATAATATTTTCGCTATTTTGCAGTACATTACAGTGATCACAAAAATGTTGCCCATGAAGTAATGGGACACCTGTGTATAAGGTGTCTTTTACATCCAGAACAGGAAATTCTAATTTGTTAAAATATAATTTGATCATTTTAAAAGGAATTTGTGAAAATTCTGACCTGTGAAAATTATCAGCTATATGGTATGTTATGTCTTCAGTGGCCAAATTGATGCTTACTTGTTTCAAATTCAAGTACATTGAAGGCTGTAAAATTGTTTTATATATATCAAATACTGGCAACATGTTTACCTGGTCTTATTCAAAGTTTCACACTTTTAAACACTTAAGAGCTCACAGCTTCATGATTTGAACAGTTAAGGTAAATACTTGATTACAGATTCTGGAACACTACTATAGACTGGAGGAAGCAAAGACAGTGTTAGAGAAGTACAGGGATAGAAACAAAGAAAATCCCAACACACACAAATACCTCTGCTCCTTCTGTGTGAAACACAAACTGTTAACCAGAGAATGTGAGACACAGCTGTTAAAGGTAGTTTTTGTTCAGTAGATTTGTCCAAAAAAATGAATGTTTTACCAAAATTTTTATCTCCATAATTATTAATTTTTTGCCTGGATGACGATGTATGTATACTTTATATATCATATTTCGGATGATCCTACAACACAAAAAACCATTATGGTTAATTCTGTTTGTTTCTCACTAACAGGCAGTGGCAGACTCTATACCATCAGACAGAATGGTGATGGATTTATGTGACAGGTTCATCGAAGGTTCGTAAATATATTCACTATTGTCTTAATTTTTTTCTTGTGAACATATTTAAGTTAATGCCTGGGTATTAAATGACTTGTTTGATTTTATGTGTATGACCTGCTATCAAGACATTATGTGACTGATGACCTCCTTCAGGAATTAGGCATTTTGGTAAGAAAAGTTTTCCAAAAGTTTGTGACAATGCAAATACAAACCAACTATCATTTAATGTTCTTTCTTGGTAGCATACTGATGTCTAATACCTGTATGATAGATTTTGTCATTTCATCCATATTAATTGTTTTCCTTAAGTCTTGGCTACTTTTGTGAAATTTTTCACATATTTTGTATGTATTGTTAAAGAGAAGGGATAGGATTATCCTGATTAATCAAGTACCCTTTGTAAAGGCCCTAACCTATCCTGTGGTTGTTGAGAGAGTTACTTCCTTTGTTCGGATGTCTGGTCATTGAGAGAGGTTAGGAACACCTCAGTGTTTAGGGCTATTTTGATTAGCCATCTTTCCTTCAGTTGGAGTCATGATAAAAGTCATTTGTCAAAAAATATAGCTGTGGTATGAAAAAAAAGATAACATTTGCTTGGTGTAAAAATGCTGAAATGTAAATGTAACTTAATTATGTATTTTAGATATGTATTTCAAAACAATGTCAAAACAAAACAAAAAATGCCTTCTTCATTATAAACGTTTTGTATCTTGTTTTCAGACAAAAATATCAGTGACCTTCTTTTCTACATATTTGAGTTGAAGGATTACAAGTGTTGGCAGAATGATGTGAGATCATGGAGAATTTTATCCACAGCAATACAGCTGGCATTAGACAAGTATGGATTTATAATACTCTTTCAATATTTAATAAGAAACAGATTTGGTTAATAAATGGTTAATAAATTTCACTTCCCTTAAAGACATCAAGCAAATAAACAAATAGAAACAAGTCAGTATGGCGCATCTGAAAATTAACTTTATGATATTATGAAAGTCAACTGTTTATGTCACATTCCACTTATTATCACATTTATGACAAATAGAACATGATATTAAGTGGGTTTCACTGTAATAGTTATATTTTTTATGTTTGATGTGAGCTGAATATACGCTCCTTGACAAGTGAGATTTGGCCAAAGCCTGTATTGAATTCTATAATTGTTCTCTACCGTTCAGGATGATTTCGTAATGGTAGACAGTAGCACACAATTACTACCGATATAAATATGTTCAGAATGATGGTTCTCTACCATTCAAAATGATTTGGTAATGGTAGACAGTAGAACACAATTACTATTATATTAAGTATTTGTATGAGGTTTTAAGCATTTAGTAAACATGAAGGTTATTGGTAAAATCATGTTCCAGTGTCATGCTCACATATTCACTGTTTCACAAGAAAGTAAAAAATCTGTGTAGTTAATTGTAGATGCAAGCTGTAAGACTTGAATTTTTCCAGTGATAACCAAGACATAATTAAACTGCATTGGAACCCAAGGGAGTCATGGTGGCCAGCATATCACTTCAACAACACTGCAAATGGCACAAGTGACCAAGGGGGTGGGGCCGAAATGGGCGTGGCACCAGATATCCAGGAGATTTGGGTACATCGAGTCTGTTGTGCTGCCATGCTAGTTGGACCAGGTGAGGCCATAATATTATTATATGATGTGTCTAGTATTCTTAAGTTGTTTAAATCACAAAACATGTTGGGGGAGAGTTTATACTTTTAAAAAAATATATTCAACTTGTGGACTACAGTACTTGGTAAACTCCATATACACATCACTTGTTTGATAATGCTGTGAATGATATATCAAATATATTTAAATAATCATATATACCTTCTTAAATCTACACTTTTACTTTATCTAATACTAAGTCTTATCAATGTATTGTAATGTTCTATGTATATTTCAGAATGTGTAATGAATATGTAAACATTCTATTTGCAATTCTATCAATAATTTACAGTTTTATCTCTTAATGTTTGAAGAATTCAACACATACACCAATTTTCCCAATAAATATTTTTCAATATAAATTTTTCAGAATTAGACATTGATAAAAGCAGTTAATTTACAATAAATGAATTTGCATAATTTCTTTTCAGATGATAGTTTTGTATCGAGTGTTAGAGGGTTGCTAAATAGAAAACAGATCCAAAGTTTGAAAGAAGTTACAAAAAAAGTCATCACCTCCGGTGGGATAACATAAAAACAAACAACTGACCATAACAACAAGTTTTGAAGACAAAATGTTATGTCAGTCAAGAGAACATGGAGAACCATTCACTCCTGGTGAGATTGATTACTGTGATAGGCGACAGAACTCAACAAACCATGCTCTTCTTGTCCGAGGCATAAAATGTGATAGAAGGCTATAGTGTTTGTCAGGAAAATGTTCTCTGCTCATCTGAGACCAGAAAATGAAGTCAGACTGTAATTTATTGCAAAATATTCAAAATCGAATGCTAAACAAAAGTATATTGAGAAATTACTTTGCTTGTTGGATGAAGACAGATGAAATAGACGAGAGATTGTTGAGAAACTTTTGTCTGTTAGTTGGAAGGTTTGATAGGAAACAAACAGACAGGTAGATTGCCACAAAGTCATCTCTGTTTCTTTAAGCTAAATGACAGCAGGCAAGTGATGGAATGGAAATGTCCTTGTAAATTTACTTACAAGTCATGGAGAAAATTAGGAGAAATAAAGTTTTTCTCATCTTATACCGGGTACTTATCTTTTTTCTAGCTCATGTTCGATTCAAGTTATTGCATTTTATCATTAAATATTTGTGTTTTTTTCATGAAAAATATAAAAATGTTGCAGGTTTTGTAACAATTTATTGAAATAACAATAGTATAAACACAAAATTAGAAAACATAAAGATAATCTGTAGGAGAAAAACAGTGGGTGACATTTTAATTATCAACACACATACCAATATAAATGTAGCTAAAGCTTGGATATTATGATTTACACAAAGTTATTGAACTGTTTCATATCATGGCACAGCATATCATGGATTTTATTATTGTAATTAAAATATAAAAATATTCTACAACGGTAGCTGTAACATCAATGACAATTTTTCAGACAACCATTTGGAGTCAGAATCCAGAATTAAGTCTCCTATCAGTTTGTAGTTTGAGTTAAATAACTACACTGTAAGCATCACCCCTTACATATCAGTATTACACAAATATAATCCACACTGATGAATGTATAACACTCTGAATGTCATTATCAGTAACTGGGACTGAAACTGATGTCGATTCCATATATGAATGTTTTCCTTCAAGTCCAGCATGAGATGTGTTCATATAAATATCAAACCCAACACGAACCCTGTAGCAGCCTCTATGAATGTCATTATCAGTAACTGGAACTGAAACTGATGTCGATTCTTAGAATACAGCGTACATGTATTTATAATCCATCATCTCTGTATCAATCCTGTGACGTGATAGAGTATTCCAAGGTGACCTTGCATCTACTACTACAGAGTATGTTACAAAATGATACTTTACACTTACAGAGTGTGTAGACTGACGTCACATCCATCAAACGACCTTTACTGGATATCCTTTTGACAGGATCCTTGCAACAATGAGTGATATACATGAACTTCTACACTATTATTATACAATTTTGGATAGCCCTACATCACTACCGTATCAAGACAACACCCTTGATACAAATGACTTCTTCAGAAGTTGTGTTGGGTTGTATCAGTATCATCATGTTCCATTCCTTTCTGTATCTCATCAGCAACATTTCCACGACGATTTCTGGTTTACTGGTGAACTGTTCCGAACGATAACTGTTCCACTGCCAGTGGTGTCCAATTTCCCCTCAACAATCTGGTTTTTTATTTCGGATGCCATTGTCACAAATAGAGATTCGACATTTGTGGAACTTTTTGCACTGGTCTCGACAAAAGAAATCCCAAGACTTTCAGCATATTCCTGTAAAAGGAAATCGGTTTTAATGGCCGATCTTGCTGACAGGTATGCTTTTATTCATGTGGTCTTACTTTGAGGCGATAATTTCACAATAACATTTTAGTATCCATCTTTGTTCTTATTTTTCAGACATCTTTAGATTTTGTTTTCATTTGTTATCTATTTATTCTATATTCTGAAAGGCAACATTTAACACATAATGTGCTATATTTAGGTTGCTGGTGTCAATGACTTTTAGAAAAGTCAACTTTTACAGTAGTGAAAGGCAGTATTGTTTACAGTAACATTTCTTTTAAAAACAAAGATTTTGAGGGAAAAATAATCAAGAAAATACTAACATGCCAACATAGTTATGATTCAAACTAAAAATCCATCGTTGGACAAAAGAAAGATTTACATGGAAACTTCAGAAAAATTACAAGGAGAATAAAACCAGGTGTTCCGGATTTCCATGTTTATGTTTACCTTGCCCATATCATATGTCACCAGCCGTTTACTGTTCATGTCAGATTTGTTCCCCACAAGAATCATTGTAGTATCTCCACCCCCGTACTTGTCAACCTCCTGAATCCAATCTCTAACATGTCGGAAAGATTGCTAATGAAAAGAAAAACGGATAATTGATATCTAAAATACGCTTTCTAACGTGCATTATATACTTTTATTAGTAAAAAGTAAAAAAACAGAGGATTTTCAACATCATTGATTTTAACAGTAGTAATAAACGAACACGGTATAACAACCTCACTTTTAAGGAAATAATTAAAGAAATCAGTTATGATAATAAGTTGAAGAGAAATACAGTTTCCATGCCAATATTATTGTTGATATCATTCGTAAAAAATGATCACTGGGCTTACCATAGTAATATTGAAGTTAAATACGAAAGATAGATGATCGTTATCACATCATACTGTGTATTGTTATTACTACTCTGCTTACCATGTCAGTAACATCATAGACAAGCATGATGCCATGAGCTCCGCGGTAAAAAGACGAGGTGATAGTTTTAAATCGGTCCTGTCCCGCCGTGTCCCACTGTCAAAGAAAGAAAAATGTTAATGAAAAGGTTCAAATTTTATTCGTATGGTTTCAAAATCGATATATTGATCCAGAACCTTTTGTTATCGAGATACGATGTTATCGAGAGACGGAATTTTGATACGAGGTTGCTATAACGAGAAAATTTATACTGACAAACGCCACATATCTAGTAATATTTCATTGTTTAACTTCTAGGTATCATACAGTGCATTCTTACAGTACCAGTTAATTCGGCAATGTAATATGATTCGTAACTGATGTAATGTACCCTAGAGTGTTTTTCATTGGTTGCTCCGGTCAGACGTTGGTTATGATGTGACGTAATGAATTTTAAACAATTAAAAGTGTCTCAAAGTCTTCAAATGATATGAAATTTTATGGAACTCTTCTCGTCAAGGCTCGCCAAATGTTTAAAACTTCTAAACCTCATTTTACGATCAGTCTATGAGCAACAAGCACACCCAGTCAGTATTTCCTTACAAAATAGTAGTTGGATGTGTGAACTACGTTAATACTAACAAAATCTACTCACTATCTGTAACCTGACAGTTTTGCCTTCAAGGTTAACTGTGCGGATTTTCTGCAAAAGACAATGAACTTGTAAATTACGTGAAATAATGGTGTACGCTATTGTGATGGTAAATGTCTCGTTTGATATCTCATATTATTATTCAATATCGTGTTATTCATTATAATTAACATGAAATGACAAGATCTGTCAATTAAAACATGAACATGGATAAAGTAGTTCATACCAATTTATAATTAAACAGTCCAGGAGGATATGTTTTATTAAGATAAACAATTACGATAGAGAATTTCGAATTCTGAGTGAATTGTTTTTCCTTTGAAAGTAAGGGATGACTTTAATATAAAGAGCATATATTAAAAAACACTTACGAAATCTACTCCTATCGTAGAGATGTATGTTTCTGAAAATACGTCATCCTGTGAAATAAAGGGAAACATTTACTATCAGTGTTACAGATAACATATCAACAACAATTTGTGATATAATTACAATTGTAGCAATAGTTTGATCAAAATGTAAAGACGATAGAAATTTTGCACAAAATCGTATAAAATCACAGTTTAGAAGGGACTAAAACACGTTTTCAGAGATATTCAAAGAGGTTTTATTTAAAATATATTTTTCACTATCAGCTTTATTCAAACTTTTTCACTGTAGATCTTAATGTTAAAATCCTTCTGATCATAATTGACAGCAATAACATTTTACTGCTTGAATTCATATTTAATAGGAAAATAACAGGTGGAAATCTGATGACATCATAACTTACCGCGAACCGTAGTAACAAAGAAGATTTCCCTACCCCAGAATCTCCTATAAGCAGGTACTTGAACAGATAGTCGCTATAACAGAGAAAAATATTTGTAGATAATGTTCTTTTGAAAAAGAAAGTTAGAAAAATATAAACTTGCTAAGAAGATTTAGGGGAGTGAGTGCGCCTAATAGGTACTGGAAAATTGAAACGATCTCGGCACAGATCATCATCACAAGTTAAAATTTTGGGACTGGTATAGGTGTTTGTATATATAAATGACGATGTTTTCCTTGATATGAAATATTAATTGTCTAATATCGCGAGACCCGTGTTTATATGAAGTGGTATTACATCTATAAGGTTGTGACTCAACGGAAATCCGAATGATCTGTGTACTTGCAAAACAGATTAACCCCGTGATATGTGTATCGTGTATAATATTCATAACAATAACTAAACAGGCACTTAATCAATTTCCTCAAGAAATATAATATAAACTGAGAAATCAAACACTAAAACCTTCCACTATAATTCATTCGACATATAAAAAATGAGTTGAGAGACAAATTTTTTGTTCAATTTTAGAAGTATTTGCATCATAAATCATGATTCTACAGAAATGTTCAATTATTGATGTGATGGTAACGCTATTTACGACCAGTATAAAATGCGAATTCATAAACATCGTGTTTATAGATATATTACCTGGTGTGTGAATATTTAATATGACACCTCCAAATATTTCGAGAGTTATGATAGAGACGGATTACAGCTAGATATTAAAAGTAAAATTATGTTATAAAAATCAGAACAATAAATATTAAATAACAATATTACGACTACAAGAGGTTAACATTTAAAATTTATAATGTTTTATGATATTGAGTAATATAAGATCAATTAATTGTCACGTACCATGATTTTCTGCATTAAGACAGAATAAAATTAATATGTAATAAAATTGTCGACATGAAAACGACACATATCAATGTATACTTACTTTCTTTCCATATTAATGTTGTGGATTAATAGTTTTATCAGTGTGTCTGCCTCGGTCTGTCCCTCTGTGCTCTTGTGATGAATTTTTAAATGATCAACAGTGTTTATATATATACAGATCTCCAGGCCCGATGACATGGAGCTTACAGCGTTGAATTTGATAATGAGTCACGGCGGTTCACCTATATATAAACATTATTCGCACAGGGGATTCCCCTACAAACGAGATCTGCTATCGTGTGTATTAAGTAAAGTGTTAACGTCGCCAGAAAATCGACTGACGTCGATTGGACGATGACCGGCGACGGACAGTCATGGGAACGATAAACCTTCATCATCAAGGTGTATTTTAGTGTACGTAGTGGTATCACTTGTATGAGTAATTACACCACAAGGATTAAATATATCACATCCTATCGAGTTTTATCTGTTAGTCGTATCAGAGACGTATTTAACACGTTATATACGTCTCTGGTCGTATCTTACTTATTTACATTATCATTAACAGTTTGCTCTCTGCTTTCAATCTTCCAGTGAAATTCTGACTGTGGTTTTGTGGTGGGTTTGGTAAATTTCTAGTTATTTTTTGTATTCAATATTCCTTCCTGATATCATTATTGAAAATTGTTTTTCCTGGATATTGGTGATATTTTTACGTAATGAAAACATTTTAACACTGTTTTTTATGTTATTTATTTTTTTGTGTTTTTATTTTTCTGTTTTCTCACACTTTCTTTCTTTGACTTTTATACTTAATTTCAGGTAAATAAGACTTTCTTTTGTGCCTATTTTTAAACATGTCCGTTTTCTCGGACGACGAAACAAATAATTATATTCGTTTTAAATCTTGGCTCTGGATCCTTGTTACTGTAAATGACTTAGATTTCGTGAATACATGGTTTCGCTAACTTACATCTTCAGACATATTGGCGAATACATTATTTCGCGGACTTCCCTCTTCAAACATACTGGCGAATACATTATTTCGCTAACTTACATCTTCAGACATATTGGCGAATACATGGTTTCGCTAACTTACCTCTTCAGACATATTGGCGAATACATGGTTTCGCTTACTTACCTCTTCAGACATATTGGCGAATACATTATTTCGCTAACTTACATCTTCAGACATATTGGCGAATACATGGTTTCGCTAACTTACCTCTTCAGACATATTGGCGAATACATGGTTTCGCTTACTTACCTCTTCAGACATATTGGCGAATACATTATTTCGCTAACTTACATCTTCAGACATATTGGCGAATACATGGTTTCGCTAACTTACCTCTTGAGACATATTGGCGAATACATGATTTTGCGGACAGTGCTTTAGAAATTACTTTAAATTCGCGAATGATGGACTCCGCTATCAGTAACCGAATCAGCACAATTATTTCAGTACAAATAATCACGAGGGATTTGAATTCGCGATTGACTTCCCTCGCGTATAAAAACGAAAATAAATCCATCACGAAATATATTTGATTTACAGTATATAGCAATACTCAATATTCTACCAAAGAGAAATGAAATACTAAATTTTAATAATGAATTTTCACGCGACAATAAAATAAACAGAAATAAGTGTAACGAGACGGTTTAGATATCTTTGTGGGAGGTCGGATATGCTGTCAATAATCTGCGGCTCCCAAATTCACTAACCTCAGTTCCCGCCACCCAAGCTCCACGTTCCACGCCCAGGTACTGATATCCCGCCCCTCACCATTACAAGCACACCTGAAGTGCAGATATCCGAACCGGGTTATAGATTTAAACAGCACGATTGTTAATCAGATTCTTTATATGGAGTGATCTTTTTCTAATACGACTTTTTTATGTATCAATCTCCATAATTATTTTGGCTCATACCAGATTCGATTGGTGATAATCACATTTCGTTACAGCAGTGATAAAAGAAGGGTTAAAACTCATATCAATATATTTTATAAGGGTGAAGGTTTTTCGGTTATATTGACTCGTATAATGACAGGTGGTTTATAATTGAGATGTGTTTAGCATTACCAATATGTCAAAGATACCAAAAGACAAAACGGGAAAAACCGTTACTATTGAAAATGAAAGCAGAAAAATAAGGACAAGTGTTGCGGAATAGTGAGCGTCTTCTATTTCATGGTAAATCAACTATGATAACCCACTAAGTTTATAAACAAGTAAAACTGCTACTTAATATGTAACTATCCAGATATGGAAATTTGATAAATTCTGATTTTAAATAAGATAGACAGTTTAATTAAACTATGGACATGTTTTCCCGTCATATCGTTGACAAATAATCTATTTTCCTGTAATATATTGATACCGATGTCTTTGATTTTTTTGTCCGTGGCGTTTAGATGTGTGGGATGATTATACTCTTGAGGCCGTGGTATTCTTCGATGTTGATCATTTTACGTACAAAATCTCGTTCTTTCGCATTTTCGACTTAGTTATCTCCTCTTGGTAATTATTGCAGACTGCAAATAATGCAGGGCAATATGCATTTTAACTGTTGGTATCAATTGCAGTGTTTGCTTTCTTACTTCCATAGTAAAATCAACAACTCGGAATACATGCAATGCTTTTTTATTGCCTATGGTCATGGAATATGTAACTGACATCGCTCGTCACGTAATACTACGGTCGTTTTATATTGTTTTCTGTTACATATTGCGGCGGCTTCAATTAAGTATGTGCTTTCATAAACTTTTCAAAGTTTTATTGAGCTTTTGTGTTGTTTGCGCTCAGATATCTTAATGAATTTCCCAAAGGATAACGATGATAATACCTTTAATAAGTTTTATAATTCAAACGCCAGGGTCAAGATAATTATTCTAAAAAAAAATTGAAAAAATGGATTATTCTATGAAATATCAGTGGGTACAAGATATTGATGATATCTTAGATCCTTATATTTTCTATTTTGTTCAGTGCACAAAGATCATCCATCTTTTTTTTTTTTTTTTTGCAATCAGATTTTTCTGTCTTCTGTTTTACTTTCGATTTTATAAGAATGTCACAGTACATTACGTTTTATGTTATGTCACAGTCTCTGAGGAAAGTTTGGACCCAATCAGACACCCAAGGATTATATCAAGGTCATAGGAAGGTCATTGTACTCTGAAAGGCGTAAATATTCAACATCTGATCTTCAACCAAGTTGATTCGATTAAAATCCATTGGACGCAGGTCTATTTACATAACTAATTTTTCTTAACCAAACGTACGAATATTCCCCACCATTGACCAAACACAGTTCTAGTTCAGAAGCCACATCCTTAAAACCTCGAAAAACAGGAAATACAGACTGATTTCTGAGGTTGACATATTTTCGAGTTTATATGTCTTGTGATTTTTTTTTTTTTTTTTCATTTCATTTCAGAATATTTTATTGTACGGATCGTATGTACAAAAGGAATTGGGCAACAGGCAAAGCCTATATTAGCCCTCTCCTTAAAAAATATAACAGTAATTACATGCACATTACATATGAATATAGCTTGAACATAATCTTCTTGTATTATTACATAACTTAGATAGAAGATTATTTGTACTATTGAGTGAATTTCAATGGACAAGAAACATTCTAATGATCAGAATTAATGTAATACTAAGCTAATTTAGAGTTCAGAAAAATCTTTTGGTGTCTCTGATGTATTTCTGAACCGCCTCCATAATATAAATATTCATGTTTATAACTTGAGGCTGAAAACCATAAATTATCGTTTGAATATTGAGTGGAATGGAATCGTTTATTGCTGACAAAGAGTTGAGTAAAGTTAGTCTTTGATTAGAATATAGAGGACAGTGCAAGAAAAAATGTTCACGATCTTCTAATGGAGCACCACATGTACAAGCAATCTTGTGATTCGTTGTGTAATCTTTTTAAAAGTTTGTCTGTTGATACAATGACGAATTCACAAGGTAGTTTTAGATACAAAATATTTTTTTATGTTTAATGCTCGTGTTATATAAACACAGTAACTTGCTTCCTCTGTGTCAATTTATTTCTTTTTCTAAAATCTCCTAGCCTCAGGTAACTAAAATATCCTAGTCTAAGGTAACTAAAATATCCTGGCCTCAGGTAACTAAAATATCCTGGCCTCAGGTAACTAAAATATCCTAGCCTCAGGTAACTAAAATCTCCTAGCCTCAGGTAACTAAAATATCCTAGTCTAAGGTAACTAAAATATCCTGGCCTCAGGTAACTAAAATATCCTGGCCTCAGGTAACTAAAATATCCTAGTCTAAGGTAACTAAAATATCCTGGCCTCAGGTAACTAAAATATCCTGGCCTCAGGTAACTACAATATCCTAGCCCCACGTAACTAAAATATCCTGGCCCCAGGTAACTAAAATATCCTAGTCTAAGGTAACTAAAATATCGTAGCCCCAGGTAACTAAAATATCCTAGCCTTAGATAACAAAAATCTCCTAGCCTTAGGTAACTAAAATATCGTAGCCCCAGGTAACTAAAATATCCCAGTCTAAGGTTACTAAGATATCCTAGTCCCAGGTAACTAAAATATCGTAGTCTAAGGTAACTAAAATATCCTGGCCCCAGGTAACTAAAATATCCTAGCCTCAGGTAACTACAATATCCTAGCCTCAGGTAACTAAAATATTCCAGTCTAAGGTAACTAAAATATCCTAGTCTTAGGTAACTAAAATATCGTAGCCCCAGGTAACTAAAATATTCCAGTCTAAGGTTACTAAAATATCCTAGTCTTAGGTAACTAAAATATCGTAGCCCCAGGTAACTAAAATATTCCAGTCTAAGGTTACTAAAATATCCTAGTCCAAGGTAACTAAAATATCGTAGTCTAAGGTAACTAAAATATCCTGGCCTCCTCAGGTAACTAAAATATCCTAGCCTCAGGTAACTAAAATATCCTGGCCTCAGGTAACTAAAATATCCTAGCCTCAGGTAACTAAAATATCTTAGTCTAAGGTAACTAAAATATCCTGGCCTCAGGTAACTAAAATATCCTAGCCTCAGGTAACTAAAATATCTTAGTCTAAGGTAACTAAAATATCCTGACCTCAGGTAACTAAAATATCCTAGCCTAAGGTAACTAAAATATCCTAGCCTAAGGTAACTAAAATATCCTAGCCTAAGGTAACTAAAATATCGTAGCCTCAGGTAACTAAAATATCCTAGCCTCAGGTAACTAAAATATCCTAGCCCCAGGTAACTAAAATATCCCAGTCTAAGGTAACTAAAATATCCTAGCCTCAGGTAACTAAAATATCCTAGCCTCAGGTAACTAAAATATCCTGGCCCCAGGTAACTACAATATCCTAGCCTCAGGTAACTACAATATCCTAGCCTCAGGTAACTAAAATATCCTGGCCTCAGGTAACTAAAATATCTTAGTCTAAGGTAACTAAAATATCCTAGCCTCAGGTAACTAAAATATCCCTGTCTAAGGTAACTAAAATATCCTAGTCTAAGGTAACTAAAATATCCCAGTCTAAGGTAACTAAAATATCCTAGCCTCAGGTAACTAAAATATCCTGGCCTCAGGTAACTAAAATATCCTAGTCTAAGGTAACTAAAATATCCTAGCCCCAGGTAACTAAAATATCCTAGCCTCAGGTAACTAAAATATCCCTGCCTAAGGTAACTAAAATATCCCAGTCTAAGGTAACTAAAATTACCTAAACTAAGGTAACTAGAATATCCTTGCCTAAGGTAACTAAAATATCCTAGCCTTAGGTAACTAAAATATCCCAGTCTAAGGTAACTAAAATATCCTGACCTCAGGTAACTAAAATATCCTAGCCTCAGGTAACTAAAATATCCTGGCCTCAGGTAACTAAAATATCCTAGCCCCAGGTAACTAAAATATCCTAGCCTCAGGTAACTAAAATATCCCAGTCTAAGGTAACTAAAATATCCTAGCCCCAGGTAACTAAAATATCCTAGTCTTAAGTAACTAAAATATCGTAGCCTAAGGTAACTAAAATATCCCAGTCTAAGTTGACTGAAATATCGTAGCCTCAGGTAACTAAAATATCCCAGTCTAAGGTTACTAAAATATCCTAGTCCCAGGTAACTGAAATATCCCCGTCTAAGGTTACTAAAATATCCTAGCCTAAGGTAACTAAAATATCGTAGTCTAAGGTAACTAAAATATCCTAGCCTAAGGTAACTTAAATATCCTAGCCCCAGGTTAACTTTTGTGTGCTTATTTCATCAAAGGGTCAATAATTCTGAAGTTAAATTGTAAAATAATGTTGTACCCTCACTCACCTCTTAGAAAGAAAGATGAGATCCTTTGTGTGTCATCAGGGCAACACGGCATATGACGGGTTATCAGTGATTTAATTTAAACATATTGTTTTTTTTTTGTGAAATTTGAAACAATCCATTTCATTTCAACTTCTACTGCAGCACTCTTGTTATTTAACAATGAAAAGTTTCAGCTTTGGGTAACATTTTATTTTATAACAAAGATATACCCACACAGTTGTATAATATATATATATGAAACAAAACATTTTATCTGTCATTTAAACATTTAACACAGGAAATAAATGATATTGCGAATTCTTGGAAATGTAGAATTCTCAGCCTCCCCAGCTATCACAGACTACAATAAACAACAATCACTTTTCCGAGGTATCATACCCAACATCAAGAATTAAAGAGTATTTATCATTTGTATCAAGGCAGCATTTGCTCATCCTTTATAAATACAATATACATGTACTATTATACAGTCGATTTTTCGAATATCTGGCAAAAAAATCCTACATCAAGACTTCGAATTATCGAAGTTTGAGTAGCAGGAGTTTGACAGTATACCTCAAATAATTTTACGCAGAGCAGTGTAATTGTTTGGACCTTCTATGGATTCTGGGTTCTGAAAAACGTGACATACACTGTACATAACTCTATACACCATGACAACCATAAATACACATTATACTTATATACAAAGTATGACCTTGAATAAAATTTTATACACATATGAAATACATCTATTGCACATTATGTTCAAATGTTTTTCCTGTCATCTCGTTTAAAACTTACGTCGCTTATCAATATGCATTCAATAACACAGGAACATTGTTAACATATAGATGTAGCTTTACAGAGCAGCATGTTTAAATGTCATTATCAGTAACGTGGACTGAAACTGATGTCGATTCTTTGTTAACATGCATTGTTATATATAACAGCCATTGTCATCACTTATCCTAACAATCTTAACCAATATAACTTTCTTTTTGAATTTAGAACAAGTGATGTTATGGTAATGATAAAGATATTCGTTGTGTTGAAGGCAAACAAAATGCTTTATCAATATCATCCGTAACCTTATCATCATTCTTTATCGTTTTCTGTGCATTTTCAACACAAGTCACACAGCAAGTGTTATGGTTCCTCCAAGTATGCCGTCTACTTCAGTACATGTCTTTATATCCTCAGCAACATAGCCATGATGATTTCGTGTTAACTGGTGAACTGTTCCTCACCACAACTGTAGCACCGCCAGTGGTGTCTAAACTACCATCGACGATTTGAGTTTTGATTTCGGACGCCATTGTCATAAATAGGGATTCAACGTTTGTTGCACTTTTGGCACTTGTCTCCATGAATGAAATACCCAGTTTGTCAGCAAATTTCTGAGAAAGGAAACAAGTATATTAGTTGTAATATTAAGCATTGTATGTTTCCTTATCAATATAAGAATAGCATTTCGTTCATTAAACAAATTAAGCATACACTAGTTTTGTAAAAATTATGTGTGTCGCTTGTTTTCTTACACTTTTTCGATTCATTCGAATGGTGGAACGGGTTAAGAATATACACAAGTATTTGTCATTCTTTCAAACTTATCAGGCACGTGAAAATTACAAAAAAAAATAGTAAAGCCCTCCTCCATATCAAGAAGTTTAGTTTTTTTCTCACGTTTCTCACGAAAGAATGGAGCACTCTGTCAACCATTATAAAGTACGACGTATGATTTGTGGGGACTTGATAAAAGTGTCCATTTAACAACTCACCTTGCCCATGTCGTATGTTACCACCCGTTTACTGGTCAAGTCTGATTTGTTCCCTACAAGAATCAATGTGTTTTCACTACCTCCGTATTTGACGACCTCTTGGATCCATGATTCCACGTGCTGAAATGACTCCTAGTTAAACAAATAAAAGCAAGGTTCTTAAAAACTTTTCAAAACATATCTCATAATATTTAAATCCAGGTTGAAGAGATCAAATTAATCCATTATGAACTACACAGGGATTTTGAAATATCTAAATGCGGAATTAGAAAACACTTTAATCAATGAACCATGAAGACATCGTAAACGATACAAGTTCCTTCTTAGTTTCGCCTTAATTTAATCGTAATAAAGAAGACAGAAAAGTGTGTGAAGTGTGATCCAGCTCCCACGAGAAAGAGGCCACTGAAGTGTTTTACGAGCCATTTTTCAAAAATAGTAACAGTTACTTTGGCCTTGACCCTATGTCAATGAATCTCGAATTTTTCTGTAACATTATGGTATTTAATATGAATGTGAAGTTTATCGATATTCCTCGATGAATGAAGCCGCTAGAGTGCTTAGTTTTTTTCTAAAAAATAGTAACGGTAGCCTTGACCTTGACCTTGAAACTCAAACTCGTCCTCGATATTATACTTCGTTTTTCGAACGTGAAGGTTTGATCAGAATCTCTGTAGGATTGAAGCTTACTCTACGTTCGTCCTGACAGGATAATCACGCTGTTGTATTTTCTGCACTTACCATGTCTGTAACATCATACACAAGCATTATACCATGTGACCCGCGGTAGAAAGATGAGGTGATGGTTTTGAATCGCTCTTGCCCAGCTGTGTCCCACTGTTGAATACAGAGACAAAGATTCCTTTTAAAATGTATACAAATTGTTTAATGGTATAAATCCATCCTCGACACTCGCTATTTACACCCCTGGAACATACCATGACCAAACTGAAGGCACAAGCTATGTAATTTGATTGTTCTAGAGCGGGTTCCAGGAGAAAAAAAACTAACCAATCACAAACTGAACGCTCTTTTTGAAGATTACAAAGGAGCGAAACCCAACTTCAAAGCCATTACAATGCACCGTTATGCGACCTCGAAATTCGTTTGATGTACATCGAAGAATTAAACGTCTTGTTCACAAGATATCACGCATAGGACCTTCAATTCTGCCATGATATGTTCCAGGGATGCAGCGAGCGATAGTGAGCATAACCACGAGAGTATTTGGAATGGTATACATTAGGAGAATACACTAATTTAAATTAATTTTCTCATGTTGTAGATTGTAATACTCTTGATGCACAGCAGTGAAAAGATGGAGAAGGGGCTGGAACAGAAAAGAAGGAAACAGAAAAAAGGTGAAGGTAAGTGTTCGATAGGAAAGAGAGGGAGAATATGTATACCAGATTTGTGTCGGTGATAGACCGTGCCTGTTCAAATCACTGCGGAAAAGGAAACAGGACGCAATAGCTGTGTTATAGTTACAGAGGGAAATTTATTCAAATCTCCATGTGTTGTTCTTTTTCAGTATACGAGACAAACTCATTAACATCACGTAATTCTACTGACATTGGATTTTAACGCCGAAGCTACGTATATGAAGTGGAGAAAAAAAAACAAGGTAAAAAATGATGTTCGTTGGTTTTATTAACTTTATCTAAATATATAGAGCTGTCGAGGAACTTATTATGTGATACAAATACAGTAAAATTTACTCAGTCCCTGATATTGTCGTGTAAGTATAGAAGAACCGGGAGCCTTCCTTGATCGAGAATAAACCGATGCTTTCAAAATGAAGTTATTTTAAATATACATCACCAGTAATTTCTAAGCGACTGCGGTAATCAGATGTCTTTTAATAATTCGAATTAAATTGATAGGAAGGACCCAGATAATGCGTTAGATTCGTTGAAGACATTCAATATCTAAAGAAAATTCCATTTCTGCAAAAGATACACAGTTGATGAAATTTGAGATATTTGTGGTCAGTATTTAAATTTCGCCATAGCTCCTTGGAATTTTAGTGATGTGTATCTTTTGAATATAAAGAAAACTTTGTAAAATCTAGACTTCAATAGTCCAACTAGACCTGGGTAGATTATTGTAATATAATTTAACGAGCAGTGTCGATAATCAGTTATGCTAGTAAATATTATATATGCTGCATATCTTTAGAAAGCATTGCATACTCACTATTTGTAGTCGTACAGTGCTGTTATCAAGGCTGACTGTGCGAATTTTCTGAAATAGATCATCAATCCAAATCGATATATTAATTGAATTTACTGAAAATAATACAATGACATGGTCACCTCAATCCGCTGCATCTAAATATGTAAGACTAATTCATATATACACTAAATTATATTCATAACTTTTGTTTATTTTCAACATTTTTAAACATCTGGGTATTTTCAATAATATAATTAACATGATTGAATTGTAAAACAGAAATAAGCAAATCAAACTGATATTTGTTGAATGTGGAAATCAAAATGAGGTAATTCAACTTACAAAGTCTACTCCTATTGTGTAGATGTATGTTTCCGAAAACACGTCATCCTGTAAAGTAATTATAGTTAATGAACCTTATTTCAGTTTCATGTTTTACATAAGCAAATATAAACAATCAAAATATGGTTGTACGACTAGGAAAACAATAAACATACATTTGTTTACAAAATACAACCATTTTAAACAGTCAACGAACAGAAACACACAAATGTGTATACATCAATATGTTATCAGATGAAAATTTATTATGTTAAGTGGGACAAAAATGGTGCTTTGAACAGTCTTACTTCCTGTAGAACTTCATGGAACAAAAGGATTGAAGCCTGAAGTTAACTTACCGCGAACCGGAGAAGTAGTGAAGATTTCCCTACTCCAGAATCTCCTATCAATAACTTACCGCGAACCGGAGAAGTAGTGAAGATTTCACTACTCCAGAATCTCCTATCAATAACTTACCGCGAACCGGAGAAGTAGTGAAGATTTCCCTGCTCCGGAATCTCCTATCAATAACTTAACGCGAGAAGTACTGAGGATTTCCATACTCCAGAAACTCCTATCAATAACTTACCGCGAGAAGTAGTGAAGATTTCACTACTCCAGAATCTCCTATCAATAACTTACCGCGAACCGGAGAAGTAGTGAAGATTTCCCTACTCCAGAATCTCCTATCAACAGGTATTTGAATAGGTAGTTATAATCACTGCAAAAGATAGACAGTTGAATATTTACACTGTACATTTTCATTCATGGAATAACAATTGTGAAATAAGTTACAGTTTGTATCATTTGATATCGATTACTCTCAAAGACAGAATATTTAAATGGAAATTGCCGACCAAAAATAGCAGCCACTTGAGATTAATCTACTTTTTTTCAATATGTAATACGCTGCTTTAACATATTTTCATTCAATGTACTATATTGTTGCACACTATTAAATACTGTCCTAGGTATTCAAGCACTTAGTATATTAATTACAATGTTCTATATTGTGGCACACTGTTTAATACTGTCCTAAGTCTTCAAACACTTTGTATATTAATTACAATGTTCTATGTTGTTGAACACTGTTTGATACTGTCCGAAGTATTCAAACACTTAGTATATTAATTAAAATGTACTATGTTGTTGAACACTGTTTGATACTGTCCCAGACACTAAACGTTTTCTTTAACACAATGTCAATGTACATCTCTCTGTTTTATTAAAAATATATTTATATCTATTTTAAAAATCAGTAATACATCTTTTTTATTTAATTTGATTTAAACATATTTTATTGCACATAAGTAACAATAGTATTGGGCACAAGTTTTACAACTTACATGAAGACCTTTCCAAACACACATTACATGTACAAGGAGGCAGTATGATATAATTATAATAAAATAATATAACAATGAAACAATAGTAATATAAACACAATAAAAGTTCTAAATTAAACATGTCGGTGGTTCGTTTCATTATTATGTTCCACAAACAATAGTGGTTAGTTTTAAGGGTAAAGTATACTTGCTCAGTGTTCATGTTGTCGAGGTACAGCCGTTTTGTTCCTTTCTGAATATCTGTTTCCCTTATGGGTCTGTTTTAAAATGTACTGTGATGTTTCGGAAAGGTATTATATATACAGATCTCTAGACCTGATGACATGGAACTTACAGCGTTGAAATATTGATCATGAGTTATGACGGTAAGTCTATATATAAACATTATTATTCTCGCAGGGGATTCCCCCTTTTTATAAATAGCTCGAATACGTGTGTCAGATGTATATTGTTCCCGGTGAGATCCGCTGGTTAAATTCTGTCCCACGCCAGTTTTCAAACTGATAAGATACGTATAAGCTATTGAATATGTCAATATAAACAACCACTACTTAGCTTCGCTAACAATAATATTGTCAACAATGAAAATATATAAACATTAGAAAAATTGTGCAGTATTCATTTCAATTGGCCGCGACATTAAGAACAAGGAAGAAGATAGAATTCCAACGGGGTTGACAATTGGTAAACAGGAAACACGGAAATTAAACAATCATACAAACAGATATTTTCCTAACCTACGCGGAAGGTGTAAATATAGTTAGATAATAATTTAGATAATTTATTTCTTGTTGAATATCGGACCGAAAATTACTGCTGTTAAACTTGTGAGTGAGTTTATCATCATTACCATAGGTACATGAAGTTATTTTATTATTTAACAGAGATTAACATATGTATTTGGTATTATAGTGTTTGTTACATACCTATTTTAAGGATTGTACGAAAGACAAACAATGAATATCACATTTTAATACATTTAAGTTAGATACATAATTGTCAAACAACGAACTAAACTGCATCATACAGCTATTTCGTCCTTCTAGGACTTGCAAGTGATGCTACATCATACAGCTATTTCGTCCTTCTAGGACTTGCCAGTGATGCTACATCATACAGCTATTTCGTCCTTCTAGGGCTTGTCAGTGATGCTACATCATACAGCTATTTCATCCTTAAAGGACTCGTCAATGATGCTACATCATACAGCTATTTCGTCCTTCTAGGACTTGTCAGTGATGCTACATCATACAACTATTTCGTCCTTCTATGAATCGTCAATGATGCTACATCATACAGCTATTTCGTCCTTCTAGGACTTGTCAGTGATGCTACATCATACAGCTATTTCGTCCTTCTAGGACTTGTCAGTGATGCTACATCATACAGCAGTTTTGTCCTTCTAGGACTCGTCAATGATGCTACATCATACAGCTGTTTCGTTCTTCTAGGACTCGTCAATGATGCTACATCATACAGCTGTTTTGTCCTCCTAGGACTCTTCAGTGAGGCTAGGGACCTAAATTTTGAAGCCTCGTCGGGAAATCCAAAATGATCGAAGAAAATTATCTAGAGGCCTAGCCGCCTTGACGGTCACGTGAGATAAGTAATATTGAATATAAAGGTTAAAGGGTAAGTAGCTTTTAGGTGCCATAAAACAGAAATTGTGAAATTGATGATAGTAAGCCAGTGTAAATACATGCATACCATCAAATGTGTTACCCTATACTAATGATTCTTACAAAGTTATTTTCTGTGGGAAATAAACAATGTTATGCTCAAAAATGCATTTTTTCTATTAAAATTACAATGAAGTCTAAAAAAAATACTGCTCCCCTGGAAGTAATGTAAGACCTTTTTTGGTAATTAAAGCCCCTTAAGATGCTTCCATCCATGAAGAGCATTTGATTCTACCATACCTGCATGATGAGAAGAAGATTTTTGAAATAAAAAGTAAATTTGACCCCTTTTGGCCCCACCCAGCAGCCTCTGGGGTCAGTCGGGATCAATATATGCATACCATCTAGTCATCATCACTTGCTCATAATTGTAACCAAGTTTGAAATATTTCCAATGGAAATTAAACAAACTATCCTCAAAAATCTATTTTACTCATATCAACTATAGTAAACTTTACTCCCTTCCCATGGGGAAATGCAAGATCCTGAGGCCATGAAATTAACAATTTTTCGTCCAGGAAGAGCATTTAATTTGACCATATCTGGATGTTGAGAAGAAGATTTTTGAAATTCCTTCAGCCCTTCTGTCAAGGTGAGCTCAAAAAAGATTATTGTCAACATTTCACCTTTATAGTCAACATTTTACCATAGTCTTTAAAATGACTCCTGTTAAAAGATTGCGTGACAGAACTCAAAAAAGGATGACCTGACTTGGACATTTCACCTTAGCGTTTAAAAACACTACTAATTGAACTAAAAATGGATGGGCTTATTTACAGTTGACATTTCACATAGCCTTTAAAAAGACTCCGCATGGAACTCAAAAAGGAATACTTTGCTTCCTACTTATGTTTAAATAGAACTGAAAGATAGAGGTTTAACAGAATTTCAAATGGGACCTTGAGCTTGACCTTGCCAATGAACTTTTCTCTTGTGCACGGCAGCAGAAATACGCTATGGAACAGAGCAGTAAAAACCAAGGTTATCTGGGTCTTCAGGATTGCCATCAATGAAACATCTTACATAAGGCAAAGTGTTGGAGGGAACTCTATTGGCAGCACAGTAGACAAGCCAGTCCAGGCTGATATTGATAATGGCTAGGATAGATGGTAAACACATGGTGATCCATAATCCTGACTGTGAACATCAAATAAGGATGCTAACATGTCAAAGACACAAAAAAGACATGAGAACTACAACCGTGCTTTACAAAAGCTTGTTTCTTGTACACACATCTCAACAATTTAAATGAACATCATCGCCTTGTAGAGGTACAAAGTTGGGCAGCAATGTTTTTCACTAGAATATATTTTGAGAACATTTTTGGAATTACTTTTCAAGTGTTTTTTTTTTTTTGCCAAATTTGCAACATTTATTATGAGATCCAGATCTGGCTTGGTACCCAACATATATTAATTGCTTGGTGAGTTGGATTTTTTTCTAGAATTTAACTGGCATGAAAGATCCATAAGAAATACCAATGAAAAGAATTGTTCAAGAATGAACGAACGGAAATATGTCGCACCATAAATGAAGTGCAATTTGAACACTTTTAGCTTCAATTCACATAGTTACCTAAGCAAAAGTTACTTCAAAATTACCTGCAGACAATGTGCCATCAACAAGCTTCAAAATTACCTGGAGACAATGTGCCATCAACAAGCTTCAAAATTACCTGCAGACAATGTGCCATCAACAAGCTTCAAAATTACCTGCAGACAATGTGCCATCAACAAGCTTCAAAAATTCCTGGAGACAATGTGCCATCAACAAGCTTCAAAATTACCTGGAGACAATGTGCCATCAACAAGCTTCAAAATTACCTGGAGACAATGTGCCATCAACAAGCTTCAACATTACCTGGAGACAATGTGCCATCAACAAGCTTCAAAAATTCCTGGAGACAATGTGCCATCAACAAGCTTCAACATTACCTGGAGACAATGTGCCATCAACAAGCTTCAAAAATTCCTGGAGACAATGTGCCATCAACAAGCTTCAAAATTACCTGGAGACAATGTGCCATCAACAAGCTTCAAAATTACCTGGAGACAATGTGCCATCAACAAGCTTCAAAATTACCTGGAGACAATGTGCCATCAACAAGCTTCAACATTACCTGGAGACAATGTGCCATCAACAAGCATTCTGTGAAAAGATGTTTTGTTACGATCATTGAAATTCTCAAACTTTTGTTTATTTGGTCTATTGGTTGACATGATTTTTTTAAATTGTATATACATACACATATATATATATGTGCGGTGTTCTCCAAAATCTCCAACCTGTCAGACAACAAGACTTACCAGAAAATAAAACACTGAGTGCTATATAATAATACACTTGTTTTATATATAATACAATACTGACAATGTATAATAACAGTGATATATAAATGTGGTCCATTATCATGGAAAATCTCGAGACAGGAACAATAATTTGAAATCAAACTTCAATATATATTAAAGTGTGGGATTTTTTCAGCTCATTTATACAATACCTGATCTAAAACCAATACTGCAATGTGTTCAACAAATATGGAAAACACAAATCAGAAAATGTTGATTTGTCATATTTTTTAAAATAAATTGAAATAATTTGTATGAATCAATGTCCAATATTTCTTAGTACATGTAATCCCCTTTGATATTTTTTATGTTTTAATTTTTTTAGAAGACCATTTAAAGTGTAAATTTCAAATTTTTGTCAGGAAGGTTGTCTATAATTCTGGACCAGAACATCAACAGTATCTGATATGTATATACTTGTAGACAATGTTAGTATGCACCGTACAGACAACCTGTAGCATTACAGATGAGGACTTTTTTGTTGTGTGTAAGAACAGACCATATGGCATTACAAATAACTGAGTTTCTATGAAGTACATTTTTTCGCTAAAATAACATTCTATATTTTTTCAATAATATATCATGAAGTATCTACATCTAGTTACTTAAAAATAAATTCAAACAATTTTATATTAGATGTTTACAATTAGAGTTACGAATTTTAATGTGAAAAGAAATTAAATTTTAATCTTAATAAATTTGACCTTTTGTTAAGATATTTTTGAAATCATATCTCATAAACTAATTGAAATATAAAACAGAAAAACTGTTGAAAAATGAGAAAAATACATTTTTGTATTAACTTGGGACATATGCTAGTATTAGCAGCATGAGAAGCAATTTTGAGTAAATGAAATTTTATTTGTGAAAGTGGACTTTGTAGGACTGAACATCATGTCCAAAAACAATATGTGATAAAATTAACAAGGTGAGTG